GACATTTTTATTAAGAATAGTAATAATAATAATAATAATAATTATAACAATAATAATAATAATAATAATAATAATAAATAATAATTATAATTGTTTATGTATATATATAATATAATATATAATATTATGTATGTTACAACCATGGATGGCGTACAATTTCGTTATTTGCATATAGTATTAATGTATTATAATGGCCGGCAGGCCGATCTTCGCATTCGAAAAAAATAGAAGGTAAACTAATATCTTTTTATAAGATAAGATTAAGATTTTTAATATTTTTCATCTGCCTTTGAAAGAATATAGTAGGAGCCTTGTATTAAATTTTCAAGTCTTTTTGCAGATGAGCCACCGAGTACTTGAGTTAGAAATAGAAATCGTGAAAATCAGTCCAGTAGGAAGTTCTGATATTATAACTGTCATAAGAAATCTCCTCACGTATTAATAATGTATAAAGATACAACGCTGGTCAAAACTCAAAGTAGAGACTCTATTCGTATGCAGCGCAGCCTGTGGCTGTTCAATCGCGCGACTCATTTCGGGGCGTTTTTTTATGCGTACGAGTTTCAATGGTCTCCAAATTCAAGTATTCCCGGTATACCAATATTAGTAAAATCTAACGTGGTCGTGGTATATACAACAACAAATAACCTAAAAGAAAGTGCTCGATCCTTTTTCCGACGTCACCGGCACATCACACACACGCACGTCATTCTGAACGCGTTCATTTCGCCTTCGCGGTTCTCTCCGCCAAGGTGCCTAGTGCCCATCTCCTGCCGTTAACTGTTTTGGATTTTAATTCTGCCATTGTGATCCGACCGGGGTAGTTGTCTTACAACCGATTGTTGTATCACGACTTCCTTGGTCGGGATGGTTTCCGGGAATGCCAGGATCAAAGGTCAAAAGTCAAAACCAAGTAAGTCTGTTTTTTATATTGGCATGTATTTCCGTGTCGCCTTCGACAATACGTTTTGTTTCTTTATTATCTTACCGTCGTCTCAATAATGTAATCATATATTGTGCTTTCGCACTTAAGGGACGTCAGCGAACTGTTTGTGTTTTCTCTGCGCAACGCAGATTAGATCTCTAATGAGAAAAATCACTTTTAGGAAAAGCATTTTATCTCGTGTTGGTCTGACGGAAAACAAAATAATAACGCGCTGACCTCCTGGTGGTTAGGTCACCTTCTCGTGGGGGAATTTCCTATCAATATAATAATATTATAGATTAAAGTATTGTATCCATTACAACGTATTAATTGTTCATTTGTTTGCAGTGTTCACGTGACGTGTATCGATCAATCGACGTGGGCCGAATAGAATATTTAAGAAGGCCGTCAAACCGCGGGCCGCCGCAACGCACTCGCTCTGGAAATCCTTAGTACAATCTACTCCGACGGACCTCTGAATAAACTTCTGCTGCAGTAATTCAATATTATGTACATTTGATTGTTGTCTATGAACTATTGAGCTAGACGGCTATGTTAACGGTAATTTAATTCTGCACACACCCGTTTTCATGAGCGTACTGCAGAAAATTTAATTTTTCTGGTCCTGTAACAAAAAAAAAATTATACACCGAGGGCAACCGTTTTTATGAGCGTACACCAGACACTCTAAGTGTCAATTAGCCACAGCGTTGGCACGTTTGTTTTCATCTGATGGTCAAATTGTGGCTATGGGATAAAAGTTGGCGTTCCAACGCTGCGGCACTTAGAATGTTTGTTGTGCGCTCGTAAAAACGTCTGCTCTCGTCATAAAACTAACATCGGAGATGTTATTCTCATTCAGAAAAATTAGATAATATGCAGTGTGCACTTGAAAACAGATGTACGTACCGAGATGCAATTATCGTCCTACTATTGTTATACAAAAACCAATATGAATAACAATATTATATTGTTTGCTGTACCGATTAACTATTCTGCTACTGTAATTCTATATTATGTATTTTTAATTGTTGTCTATAAACTATTGAGCTAGACGGATATATGTTAATGGTAATTTAATGCGCCACACACCCGTTTTCATAAGTGTATTGCAGAAAATTCAAATTTTCTGGTCCTGTACCAAAAAAAAATTATACACCGTGGGCAACCGTTTTTATGAGCGTACACCAGACACTCTAAGTGTCAATTAGCCACAGCGTTGGCACGTTTGTTTTCATCCGATGGTCAAATTGTGGCTATGGGATAAAAGTTGGCGTTCCAACGCTGCGGCACTTAGAATGTTTGTTGTGCGCTCGTAAAAACGTCTGCTCTCGTCATAAAACTAACATCGGAGATGTTATTCTCATTCAGAAAAATTAGATAATATGCAGTGTGCACTTGAAAACAGATGTACTTACAAAAATACAATTATCGTCCTACTATAATACAGTTTTATAATATTATATTGTTTGCTGTACCGATGAACTATTCTGCTACTGTAATTATATATTATGTATTTTTAATATTGTTGTCTATGAACTATTGAGCTAGACGGCTGTTTACAATATTATTAACATTAACATATTATAGATCATAATAAATATGAATTCATTTTTGTAAAGTAAAATTTACTTATGGATAATTCTTTATTGTTTGTAACTGCTTACCTACTAATAAATGCATAATTTATTAAATAAAAATATTGTTTGAATTTATTAATTTATATATCTACTATATCCTATACTATATACTATATAGTATATACTATATATACTATATCTACTTTTCAAAAGAAATGACGGTGCATTTTCGTGTATGATGAAAGATGTATGTACCAAATTTTTCACCATTCTTGCGGTGTTACGTGTAAATATTGAATTTTATGTTATTAACTTGTTATTTTAGATGTAACTGTAGTTGTGTTATTATATACATTTAAAAACTAACTACCTCTAATATGTCAGTATTTGTTAATTACATTTCAATATTTTTATGTAATTGTTTATGCATGCTACTAAGTTTTATCATTGGTTATAAAATATACTAGGTAGGTACAAGGTGCCTACGTGGATTTTATTCTGGATATAAGAGTGTCGAATTGCCGTCTTTCGAGTACAGAACATTACAACAATTTATCATCATATAATATAAGCGGCAAAGGATGTTAAATCTTAAAACCTACAATTTAAATCTGCAATATTGAGTACCTACAGGTACTGGATTTATCAGTTGTTGGATATCGGTGAATGTGTTTATCACCTAATTATTATTATGTAGTATAAATTATAGTACCGATATATTGTAATATGCCCTAACTAGAACTGTTACGGACATTTTCAGTGTCAATTTTTTTAAATTTTATTTTTGATTAAAAATCTTGAAAACATACTACAAGGTTCCTAATATATTGTTAAAATGATATGTGAAAAATATTAAAAACAGGTTACAATTTATTTTTATAAGTATTTAAAGTTCAAATATTAACAAAATACTTAAAAACGACGAAAATGTGCAAATTATTTTGAGCTAGAAATTCATAAAAAAACATTACATATTCACTCGATTTCTCATGTAGCGATTTTCTTATTTTGGTGTAATTCAATACACTGTAAGTACATGAAAATTCCACTGAATGTTTATATTTTCATTTTCTAAACAACATACAATATTGAAAACATTTTTAGTTATTTTGAGTGTTTACGCACAATTTCAAATTTCCAATTTCAAATGTTTAAGTTTTTTTTCTACAAATATCAATAAAAATTGTTTTGCCAAAAAGCGTGAAATGTAATACAATGCTCCTGTACAAATATTAAATATACATAAGACAATTTTTTTTAATAAGCATTTTAAGTTCGAATTTTGACAAAATTTAATAATTATTAGTAGTGAAAAAATGTATAAAATGTTCAACTTATATAGCTAAGGATTGAAAAATTAAAACAAGGTTTCATGTAAATAGATCATATTATATAAATTATTTTATTCACAATCATATCATCGAATATACTTAGTTATATCATAGGCTGACTGACTGCCTTCGTTCAGAACCGTTTTTCTTATACAATGATTTTATATCATTGAATTTAAATTTAACACCGTCCATTACACTATTAAAGAGACTGACTTATAACCTACTGTACAGCAGAGCGACATACACTTGCCCACCTTTTTTTAAAATTTAAAATGTATTATTTAAAAATTAAAATAGACCAGGAATAGTACCTACCCATATTCTTTGCCAATCATATTAGCTGACTTATTTATCCGAAATCTAATTTTTAAGGGTTAAAGAGTTCATTTTCAAAAAAGTGGTTTAAGTCGTCTCTAAGAAAACTTCATGACGAATATACAAATACATAATATGTTTCAGAAATTTTATCCGATGACTAGGAGAATACGGTACAGTTGGCATAAAGTAAGCCTGTTTTGGCAGAGAACAGATACCTATTTAAAATTTTATAGTTGTATACTATTATAATAGTATTAGAATATTTATCATCATAAAAAATGAATCATTATAATTGTATGGTTCTCTAAACGTGAAAGTTTTATTAATCCAAAATGTATATAATATTTATGTACTTAAATCCATGATGTTTATTTCTATGCTATTCTAGAATGCTAGATCTAAAAAAACCTTAAGTGTATTATTTGGGATCGATGATGATTAACTTTTATTATTATTTTATATAGTTCATTTGTAAATCTCAATTTCCACTACCACAATTCAATTTTAATTTTTTTTTATCAGAATTATACAACTGTACGACGAAAAACCGATTTTAACTAATATTGAAACAGACATCATATTTATAATATAAAATAAAATTATCATTTGTAAATATTTTTTAAAACAAAATAATTATTTATTTATTTTTTTTTTTATTATTAAGAATAAGGCTTCGACATCGGTGGTCATTAGCCTGAAAAGGTTTACAATGGTAGATTAAGATTAGAAATATTGATAAAATCTTATGTACATAGTAACATGAAAATTGAACAAAATGAGTAAATAAATAAAATAAAATAGTAGTGTTAAATAAATAGGTAAAACAGTGGTAATTACAGATTTTTATAATAGGTTGGATACTTTGATGGCATTAAAAAAGTTGAAGATGGCATCGGTGTTGGTTTCACCAAGTGCTTCTTCGATGTTGGAGAGGAAGTTTAAGATGCTTCGTTCATGGTTGTACTTGGTGCAGCTGAGTGTGAGATGTTCAATTGTCAGTGGTAGGTCACATTGATGGCAGGTTGGATGTTCATCATGGTTGAAAAGGAAAGAATGGGTGAGATGTGTGTGGCCAATTCTGGCTGTAGTTGTGACGATATCTGCATTACGGGTTGTGTTTATGGGGGATCGCCATTTCTGTATGGTTTTTTTCATATTTTTTAATTTGATATCCGAGGTTCTGTCCCATTGTGATTGCCATTGTTTGTTTGAGATTAGGTTGATTATTCTTGATAGGTCTTTATATGGTAAGGAATTTCTAACAGTTGATTCAGTGGATGATATAGCTTGGTTCGCTAGTAGGTCGACTTCTTCGTTGCCATTGAAACCAGTATGTGACGGGACCCACATAAACTCTATAGTATTTTTTGAGTTAGCTATAATATTGATTATTTGTTGAGAGATTTCATTGGACGGATTAGGAGATAGTAAAGAAGTTAAGGCACTGAGAGAGTCGCTTATGATAAGAGCTTTTTTTATGTGGGTGGATTAGTAGATAGTTGCTTCTTTGATGGCGGTTATTTCTGCTGCGAAGATGCTGAAGTACCAAATTGTTCACCATTCTTGGGGTGTTACATGAAAATATTGAATTTTATGTTATTAACTTGTTATTTTAGCTGTAACTGTAGTTGTGTTATTATATACATTTAAAAATTAACTACCTATAATATGTCAGTATTTGTTAATTACATTTCAATATTTTTACGTAGGTAATTGTTTATGCATGATAATAAGTTTTATCATTGGTAATAAAATATACTAGGTACAACTGTACAAGGTGCCTACATGGATTTTATTCTGGATATAAGAGTGTCAAACTGCCATCTTTCGAGTATAGAACATTACAACAATTTGTCATATAATATAAGCGGCAAAGGATGTTAAATCTTAATACCTATTCTGCAATATTGAGTTCCTACAGGTACTGGATTTATCAGTTGTTGGATACCGGTGAATGTGTATATCAACTAATTATTATTATGCAGTACAAATTATAGTACCGATATATTGTAATATGCGCTAACTAAAACTGTTCACGGACATTTTCAGTATCAATTTTTTTAATTTTTATTTCTGAGTGAATAACATTTTATTTTTGGGTAAAAATCTTGAAAACGTACTACAAGGTTCCTTATATATTGTTAAAATGATATGTGAAAAATATTAAAAACAGGTTACAGTTTATTTTTATAAGCATTTAAAATTCAAATATTAACAAAATACTTAAAAACGACGAAAATGTGCAAATTATTTTGAGCTAGAAATTCATAAAAAAAATTTTTTTTTAAATCCATAAGATTTTAAAATGTAATACAAGACGCCTTGTACCTTTATCATGAAATAAAATGTCTACAAGAAAGTCAAATTAAATTTTTATGAGTGTTTAAGTTCATATTTTTATAACATTACATATTCACTCGATTTCTCATGTAGCGATTTTCTTATTTTGTTGTTATTCAATAACAAATAACTGTAAATACATGACAATTCCACTAAATGTTTATATTTTCATTTTCTAAACACCATACAATTTTTAAAACATTTTGACTTTTTTTGAGTGTTTATGCACAATTTCAAATTTCAAATTTCAAATGTTTTAGTTTTTTTTTTCTACAAATATCAATAGACTTAAATAATAAACTTAAATCTACTTGTCAAAGTAAGCAGTGTTATTTATTGTTTATCTACATATAATAAAAATTTTTTTTTGGATTAAATACTTTAAATTTCTCAGTTTCTCTATTTTAGAAAACATAAATTATTACACATTACAATAGGCATATATTTGTATTCATTTCAGATCCTAAATTTTACATATACTTTGTTCTATAATAATAATCTTTTATTATCTTCAGTCAATCGCCAAATAAAAGAAACTGCAATTAAAAGAAACTGCAATATGAAAACAAAATTTTTCTTTTTAAATGATTAGTAAACATTCGGTATGATGAAAATATTTTTTATTTTTAATTCTAAAATGTTGTTTTTAAATCAAATTAATTTTTCAAATATAAGTAATTTAAGTTTTGAATATTTAAATCGTTTTATATGTAATAATCTAGTAGTAGGATGTAGAGAAGACCTATTAACATTGAACTTGATTCCATAAAATAATTGAGTGAAAGCATAATACACTTTTTAAAATGCTTTTCTACTCTACGTTTACTGAATAGATGGTTAAGATCTAGAATGAGCGAGGATAAGTTAACAGTTCTAGCTTTGTAATAAATTCCCAAAAATATTAATATTCATTAATTGAATCATCATTAATAGTATTGCTAATGATAAAAATAGAAATTGTGATTTTATTTTATAGTTTTATTAATTGTACTGTACAATGTTTATGATGGTAAGAAACTAAGAACTATTTTACTTTTGTTTTGTAGGTGCATTACGCTGGCATCCGCAGGTTAGAAAATGTGCTTACTCAAAACCGGGAACCAAAATTTGTTTTATAATTTGTACAAGTTTGTAATCACATGTTTTATTTTTTGAACAAATTTTTAGATTTGAACCGTGATTAATTTTATTTGAATATGAGTTATAACAAAACATCAAACTTCTTAAAAAATAAAGATGTAGGTAATAAATATGAAGTTAAAATGATAATAGAAAATGATAAATTGGTAATAAATGTTTACCTAGTAAGTGAGAACTTGTTATTTAATGTAGGTATATTAATACTTAAACTAGTTGTTACTTAAGTAAAGTATTTATTTCAGCATACATAGTAATCTTGATACATTATTTTTATACACACATTTACCTATATCTTTATTGTATCGAATAAACAAAATAAATTAAATCTTTAATATATTTGGAAAAATACTTTGAATTTTACATGAATACATTTTTAACTTATGGAAAGTTTGACAAAAAATCGGTTAACCCATATAATTAAATGTCCACAAAATGTGTTCTCGTCCTTCGAGAATTCTTGGATCCACCCCAGCAATGCTATATAATATACAAAACATTTAGATCGATTTAAAGGCTTTATTAGCTATTTATCTAGCCTTATAAATACTAGCTATTTTAAAGGCTTTAAGACTCTATAATTATTTGTAATTTCCACTACTCAGATGGTTTTTGATTGATATTAGATGATAATCAATACATATTTTCAAGGCTGGGCATTAACGAGTTAAAAGTTAAAATTAAGTTAAAACGTTAAGTTAATTTTAATTAAGTTAATAACTCGTTACTTTTTTTACAAATTAACTTTTAACTTAATAAGTTACTTTTTTTTAAGATTAACGTGTTAACTTTAAGTTAATTTTATTTAAAATTATCTAAATTAAGTTAATTTTAGTGCAAAGAAAAATGCAAATTATTAATGAGGTTTTTAGTATATTTTATGATTTACTATTTTAATATGAATTTCCTGTAGACGAAAATAATATGAAAAATAACTTTAATAGTCATTATATGGGCTATATAATATCTACCTACACGTTTATCATTATAAATTGTATTAATAATATTTCCAAAGATAGGTTATACAGATTATCGTTTAAATGGGTTCCCTGAAGTGGATGTCGAATGTTGTCGTGAACGTTTTTCCATTATTAAATAAATGCAATTATAATCGGCTAGTCCGAATTTGGTTCAACAATAATTTATTACCGGCATTATAACAAGTCACAACACATATAAAATGCGGAATTTAATAAATAATTGTTGTGACATGTTATTGGTGAAGAATATAATAAAGACAACTAATAAGTAATAAAATGATAAAATATAAGTATACCATCATGTGTCAACCTTCGTAATATAAATTTATTACCCATTCAATATTTCTGCTTGGTATTTAATTAAATTTATATAAATTTAATTAATATGATGTATATTTCACTTAAACTTTTACAGATATGAGTGAATAGCTTTGTATATACAAATATACTATATAATATTAAAATAAAGAGTACCTAAACATAATACAATATTATTGTTATTTGTATGTATTTAACGTAAATAAGATTACAAAAATTTTATATTATTATGATTTGTGAATCAAGGCTCTGTTCGTTTTATTTTTATAACATTGTTATTGTATAAACAGTAAACACTATAAACCCATGGAAATCCTAAGAATATTCTGTGAAAATAGTAAATACCACGAGAGCTAGTGTCGACGGGGATTAATCACAAAACAACTGTGGTTTAATTTCCAATTTAATTTCATTATCCAACAAGCATGTGTTCTGTTCGCATCTTGTTAGAATTTATAATATATAGTTATTAGTTTATTACTTTATAAGCTTATTATATTTCTGTAAAAGTTTATTATTTTTTTAAACTACAATGTCTGAAGACCATTTAAAGTGGCCCTATTTAAAAACTTATTTCGAACAACAACTATCAACATCAGATACAACTGAAAAAAAATCAAATTTTACATTCAAATGCATGCTATGCATGCCAAAAATAAAATTGATATCAACTTCTATAAGTTCAAATTCAAATTTAAAAACTCACATCAAGGTAAGTTAATTTATATTTTATAGTAAAATACTAAAATATATATTATATATATCGTTCCTCACGCATATCGGACAATTATAATTATAATTATTCGTGAATTTAGAAAATATTAAAAATATCCGGTTAATGTTAAGGTTCAACTGTCTATTATTATTATTAAATTGTTTTCAATAATAACAAAATAAATCACCATATTATAGTAAAAGTACCAATTATACAGCTTTTGTAAACAACTCGAAAAATTAATAATTAAAATTATTTTTTGATCAATTTAGCTACCTAACAAGGTACCTGTTTTAAAAAAATTTCAGTAATTGTTATGATTTTTGTTATTTTACAATATTATCTAAAGTAAAACTAAAACTCATAGGTATAAATTACCGTAATTTCACATCAAGTATTGAAAAATAAGTGGATAAATTTAAAAATGTGCGATTTTTATGCGTTTTATATTATTGAAGTTAATACCTATTTTTTCAGCATGTTCATCCAAGTGAATTAATTACATTTAATGAGCTTGGAAAAAGGAAGTCGTACAATATTAATAATTGTACTCAACCAAAAAAACAGTTGAAATTATCGGAAGTAGGAAAAACTGTAAAAAATCTTAGTCAAACAGAATTTGATAAGGCTAACCTAGAACTCATTATAAATACTGTGTCACCTTTTTCTTTGATTGAGCACCCTGCATTTATAAAATATTGTCACTTAACATCCAATAAAGTTCCTATGTCCAGAAGAAGTTTGATGAGAAATGTAAGCTCATTGTTCAATGATATGATTCAACAACTGAAGACTGAACTAGAAAAAATTGAATATGTTTGCATTACTGCAGATTGTTGGAGTATTTTCCACAGGTAAAATATTATTTTTAAATTATCAAAAAAATAAATTTTTAATTGTTATTCAATAATAATATAAAACCTATGTTTACAAAATAAATTTATTGTAGATCGTATATGGATTTTACAATTCATTGGCTGAACCCAATTACATTGGAACGTAATTCCCGCGCCCTCGCTTATAGACGCATGTTAGGGAGGCAAACATACGATAATATAGCAGAAATAATTGAAAAAGTTCTTACAGAATTTGATGTACAGTCTAAAACCACTCTAATTGTCACAGATAACGCAGCAAATTTCGTTAAAGCTTTCAAGTAAGATGTATATTTTAGAATGGCCTATTTGTATTAGTTATAAATATTATGATTTATGTTAATTTATTATAACGAATTCATTAAGCTATGATTGTACACCAACTTTTTGAATTTTATTTAAAATTGTAATTTATATACAGTGCTGATAATTAAATATTATATTATCTTTTTCAACAGTATAAAAAATACTAGAATTAATCTCTAAACGCTGGTATACAATTATAGTTTCTTTTTACTTTTTATAATAATAATATACTAATTGTATGTATTTATATATTGTAATTTTTTGTAATAGTTATTCATTTTATTTTTATAATTATAAGTTTTTCAATTTTAAATGTATTTATTTTGATTTTAGAGTGTTTGGTGCTAATAATGAAATTGACAATAGTGGTAATAATATTGAAATGTGTGGAATTGAAATTGAAAATGATGAAATATTGAGAACCATAAATATCACTGAAATACTTGATGGTCAAACTCAAAACACAAATGATGTATTAGATATAAAATTGCCAAAACATCAAAGATGTGCTGCGCACACGTTAAATTTAATTGCAACAGTTGATATTCATGAAGCAGAAAAAGATGGTCCATATAAAGTACTTAGTAGACGTGTGTTTGCTAAATGTCAATCTATTTTCAATAAGCAGAATCAATCGACACAATGTGCTGATAAAATTAAAGAAATTCTGGGAAGATATCTTATAACACCAAACGCTACCAGGCAAGTTAATATTATTTAAATTTCAATACTTTAAAATTAAATATCATGTATTATTATGACTTATCAGTGTTTCATTATTAATAACAAAATAAATTACTATAATTTTCAGATGTAATTCGTTCTACGATGCCAAAAAAATGTATTGTTGACCATATAGATAAAATGGATACAATATTCACAGCATTTCAATTAACTCCTTTCTCAGGTCAAAGAGAGTCTTCATTTTTAATTGAATACTGCAAGGTAATATGTTATTATAATTTATAATGATAGGTATAATGAAAGAAATATAATAGTTTAACAGTAAATTTACAAAAGAAAAAAAAATTTTTTTTATATTAATTTGTCATTACTTTGGGAAGAAGGAATTGAGAAGGAAATCAAATTTTCCTTCAATGGGATGTATGATACCTATTGTTTTATTATCTTAGGTGATGAAACCAATCGCAACAGGGCTAGAATGATGTTTTACAAGGTGAACAACATGTTTGTATTGGATATCTATTACCAACAATTACAGCTATAAACAAAGCCTTAAATGAATTCAATAATTTAAATTTCTGTAGACCATTGGTTCATGCTTTAAAAAATGGATTAACCAAAAGGTACTTTTATAAATTTTTTAAATTTGTATTATATTCATTGGAACTCAATGAAAAATGATATATGTACTCCAATGTTATTCATAAAAGTTAAAACTTATTTATACAGTTAAAATGGTACAAAAACGTTTTACAGAACAATTTCATAAATAGCGTTTATATTATTACCTTATGTCGCCCACATATTTATATATTTTAAATTTATAAGTAATAATGCACTTGTAATATTTAACGATTCTTAAGTTAAAACTGAATTATATCATTATAATGTGTTACATGGTACATTAAATATACATTATATTTTCAGGTTTAAAAATTACATGCAGTCAAAAACATTACAAGTTTCTTCGGCATTGGTACCAAAGTTCAAATTAATTTGGGCTAATCCCGAAGACAGAACATCATAAAACAACATGTTATTGATCGTGTGCAATTTCATTTTGATCAAAACACAAATCTTTCTTCTCTAAGTTCTTCAAATCTTGAAACAAACAGTGAAGATGAAGATGATTTTTTCACTTTTTCTAATGATGAAATCTCAGTAATTAACTCTGATTTCCAAACTTTAGTTACTAATTATTTAACAAATACTAACATTAAGGTACCACTTGATTTAACACACGAATTAAAAAAAGCTTATATAGAATTTAATACAGCTATACCGTCATCTGCTCCTGTGGAGAGATTGTTTAGTGCTGGTGGTCAATTATTTGACAAAAGGAGAGGATCCATTTCTGATAACAATTTTGAAATGTCTCTTTTGTTAAAATATAATAAATATTTTTGATGAAAATTTAAATTTTGTTTTGTCCTTGTAATTAATTAATATTAGGCAGTTAATATATGTATATATTTATTTATTTATGTTTATAAATAATATCTATGTACACATATATGATATATAGCCACATAAATGAGATTATCGATTATCTTATTTATATGTTACCTAAATGATATGTGGTGACTTTCAATAATGAATGCTGTAGTCATGACTCGACTATTTTATTATTTACCATGTTTATAACAGGTATTTAAATTTGTACGAAAAGTTTAAAGCTTATACAAAATATGTAATTTCTTAAGATATTTATTAAAGGTTTAACATTTATGGTTTTATTTTTATCTAAAAATATAGTACAAAGTAATTATATTTTTACTGATAATAATTGTTCATGTTGTGCTGAGCCTAGGTTTTAAAACTACACGGTGGCTGCATTTTGTCCTCAGTATAGAAAATATATTTGGGTGGTAGGTACTGCCTGTTTGATTTTTAAAATTTATGTGAATCAATTAAAAATATTGGTATCTTGGCAGTTGGGAGAAAACTATTAAGGTGTTTTTTTTTTTTTTTTGATGTACCACTTGGGTAAATTGATTTGAGTATGAGTTCAGGACTAAGATTTATTTTGGAAAAGTAGGTTTTTTGATAGCTAGTTAATACTTTTATGTCTCATTTAAAAAATTTCCCTAGTATTTTTCTTAAGTGTAAAAAAACTAATATTATGTGTGCAATTTTTTATTTTTGCAAAATAGAAAATTTTAACTTTAAACTAAGTTAAGTTACTTTTTTTTCAAAGTTAACTTTTAACTTAACGAGTTAACGTAAAAAATATGATTAACTTTTAATTTAACTTAACTTTATTATTTTAAAATAACTTAACTTAACGAGTTAAAAAAAATCGTTAACTTGCCCAGCCTTGCATATTTTATGGACCAATGACCTATTATATACATTTTTTGAATTTCTTGAATATCTTCAAACTATTGGCAAAAAATACAATTGCGAAGAGTGTACCAACAAAGTGAAAATGTCAACAATGTAATGCATGACATTGCTAGTGCCTTACATATAGATCTTAATTTGTTTGATATTGAAAATGCTTATCCTAAACCTTCGAACCGTAATCTGGAAAAGCCTTTGATAATTGTGGAATTTGCATCAAGGAGAAAACGTGACAAATTTATTAAGAAGCGAGGTAAAATTGAATACAAAAGTAATCGAATCTATATAAACGAAAGTCTTACGGCTTTCAATAGAAAACTATTCTGGGAATCGAGAATGAAAGGTAAGGAACTGGGCTATTGTTTCATTTGGACAATTCATGGCATCATATTTTGCAAAAAAATGAACAGGGCAACAAGATACAAGTAAAATGTTTAGAAGATCTTAATTTTTTATAATTTACTTAAATTATATCTTAGTATTTTTTATAATAAAAATAAACACATCCTTATTTATGTAACCTTCAACCGGGATTTTTTTAAACTTATATCAATTAATTTACATAATTTTCTCGAAAATTAATATAAATGGGTCTATTTTAATTATACATAAAATTGGGTTTACTGCTTATCAGCAATTATTTAATATTTTTATTACGTCAACACACTGTAATACAATACCTATAATTGGGCCATACAATCCAACACATATTTCAAACATTATAAAAAATATTATGCTGATTAGACAGTCATCAGTTATATACAACACTCGTTTTGTAAACACACATTCTTACCAAGGTTTCATAACTATAAGCATGCAACTTTTTTTACTATATAAATATTATAAATTATTGAAATAAATTCAGACTTCATAGACTACTATATCACAAACAATGACGGAAATATAGTAAATAAAGATATATATGAGTATTTGTTGGATATAGAGAGTAACGATTTGAACGTTTTACACATGAATATTAGGTCTTATAATCGAAATATAGACAAATTTTGGTGTTTGATAAACGACTCATTAAAGTGCTTAGACATAATTATCCTTAGTGAAACTTGGAATAGTACGGGGTTTACTCCCCAAAACCTAAGCTGTTTTTCGAGTTATAAAAGTGAAAATAATTTTAATCAAAACAATGGTGTAATAATATATGCAAACAATAAACATAATATATATGTTAATCAACTTCAATTGTTCTCAGAAGCTAGCTGTATACATTAGACTTAAAGATAAGTAACATGCCAATTACAATTTTTAGCTGCTTATCGTTCACCTCAAACTAATACAAATATTTTCTTATCTGAACTATCTAACTTAATGACTTCAGGTCCTAAACAAAAAAATTGTATATGGATTGGTGATATAAAAATTGACATATTAGAAAAAAATACTTCTCTTATAACCGAAAACTATTTAAATATACTATCGTCCAACGGTTTTTCTTCTCAAATATTTACGCATACTAGAGTGGGTTATGACACTAGTTCTTATATTGAGCACATATTTAGCAGAAATGTTAATCTCATTTCTGTAGGAATTAAGACTAGTATAACAGATCATTATACAATTATAGGTAGTTTAATAAACTGACAAGTAAACAACAAACACAAAGATGATTATTTAAATTTAATATCATATATCGATTACAACAAGGCAGTTAGATTATTATTGTGTATTCAATGGACTGGATTATTTGGAACCAATAATACTAATACAGCAATAAATATTTTTAATAATTATATATTACTATATTAGACACAATTAATAACTGTATTGTATCAAAGTCCCAATCAAGTAGGAAAAATCGTAGGATAAAACCCTTTATAACCAATGGTCTTGTGACATCAATAAAAAATAGAGATAAGCTTAATATGAAAGTTAAAAAGGATACTTCAAATCATAAATTGATAAGCTATTACAAAGCTTATAGAAATAAATTAACAATACTCATTCGGAAGGCTAAAGAACAATATTATATCAACAAAATAGAAATATGTAATGGTAATGGAAAAGAAATTCGGAAAGTTATTAATGAACTATCGGGGAGAAAAATTAAATCAACCGGGCTACCATTCAATGAAATAATAAAGGAAATATATCCGACATCAACACCTAAAGACTACTTAAACATAGTAAATTCATACTTAGCTACCACCGGAAATAGACTAGTTGAAAACAATTTTTCTAATAGTACAAATAATATACAATCTAATTTTGGAACAAATACTAATAATAAATCAAGCATAAGCGCTCCAACTTCAAGTTAAAAACCATAGGCAGTTACGAAGTAAAAAGTATATTATATAATCTGAATGATAACTCGGCACCTGGAGTTGATGGTTATACAAAACTATTTTTTAAACAAATAGGAGACAATGTGATATTACCCATTGTGCACATCATTATCTGTAGCATAACAAATGGTACTGTTCCTGATGAACTTAAAGTAGCTAGAATCGTACCGATTCATAAAAAAGTAGATTAAACTGATTTCACTCATTATAGACCAATCTCAATAGTAGAAATTCTAGCTAAAATCCTTAAAAAAATTATTAAAAATTAACTATTAGAAAACTTGGAGAGAGATAAAATGTTATTTACTGGACAATACGGGTTTAGAATAAAATTAGGAACAGAAAACGTTTTAATCGACATTAATAACTATTTACATAGCAAAAGGGATACTAAAAAAAAATTTTAATTTCATTCTTGGACTTGGAAAAAGTATTTGATTCAATCAGTAGACAATTATTATTAAACAAGTTAAAGGAATAAGGCTTTGATGACCATGCATTAAAATGGTTTACCAGTTATCTGAGTAACAGACAACAACTAACAACTATTGGACCTCATTTCAGTAATCATTGTTATGTTAAAGATTATGGAGTCACTCAAGGTACATCTTTAGGCACTATATTATTTTTAATATATATTAACTCTATACCTGCATCTTTATTAAAAGGTAAATTATTCATGTTCGCGGATGACATAGTACTAGTTAATTTCGAAGATAATTGGGAAAAATTAAAACATACCGTCGAAATCGATTTACGGCATATCTATGACTAGATGGAAAAAATCTGTTATCACTCAACATAAACAAATCGATTTGCATGAAAATAGTTAGTTACCAAACGATCACAGTTACCTGTTGGATATAAATTTATAATACATAAATGTTTAACTAGTATGACAAATTGTAGTTGCAAACCAATTAAATTGGTATTATCATTAAAATATAAAGGAGTGACAATGGATTTTAACTTAAAATGGTGAGAACATAAAAATAATATAAAAAATAAAATGAGGAGCTTAAATGTATTATTTTACAAAATTCGATTAATTGATAATTTAATTATAAGACAAATTTACATGGCACTGTGTAATTCGATACTATTATACGGCATAACCTGTTGGGGAAGCACCAACAGAATAGATATCATTGAAATTTAAATAACGAAGTAAAGAGTCTAATAAAAAGTTTATGTGAAAGTCTATAATTAATATGATTAATAAAAATAAGATAAAATAGTTAGTGATGTTGATGATAATGTGTGTATTACTAACATCATAAAAAGTCAATATGTCTAAACATAATATCTTATAATATATAAATATGTACCTATAATATTATGTAATGCAGATGTAAATTGTTGTTTCTATAGTTTTTTTTTTATCATGTTATGTTTATTTAATTATATCATATTTTTATTCTATTAGAATTTACTTTAAACAAATTATAATATTGTTGAACTCCGTGCACCAGATTCGAGCTTATAGCTCAGTTGGTATTTGTATCAGCTATTATTAATTTATTTTATTGTAAAAATGTAATTGTTATTATTTTGGCTGAATAAATAAATAATAAATAATTATAATATATTATATTAAAATAGGTATTGGGTTTTATCAAATATCTATACTCTATTCCATCTAAGAGTGAACCACTCTGCTCACCAAAACACGTTTTTCCGCGCATTCCCGCCACAATCCTGACATTGGTGAGATTTTGAACACGGGCGCCCGACGTCCGGAGATGACTGTCCGCCAATCACAGAACGCATAGCCATCGCATGGGGGGTCAGGTACTATTTGGCGGCTCAGTCTGCGTGCGTGAAAGCGGTTCACTCTTAGGTGGAACAAGGTATATACATAAGTCAACCACCAAAATATTAATTTCTATTCTGTAAATGTAATTCAAATATACTTTTAACAAGCGGCCACAATATAAGATATATTACACTTATACAGTTATTCATATTATATTTTCATGCATACTCTGTTCAAGTTAAGAAACGTAGTCCGACAAACGGGTGCTGCCAGACTATGGGTTGACAAACTGATCGCCGCTATATGACTAGTTTCTCTACTTGAACAGAGTATAGGTAAAAAAATTGAAAAATTGAGCCATCCTCAAGTTTCAACCCATAATAATAAAATAACAATAATTATAGTTTTCTTACATATTCTTCATTTGGAACCGCAAGGTCAGAACAAGAAATAAGTTGAATCACTTCATCAGGAGATAAACGTAAAAATTCATCATATTTTACCACTTCTCTGAAAATAATAATCGTAATGTATAGAATTTACATACTGAGCAAGAAAATTAAATTATGTTTATCTTACAAAAACTGTTTTTTAATATAGGCATCAGAACTTGACATCAGTTCTTTACAGTTATATAAGTCAGCAAGGGCTCTGATTCCGAGGCAAGTTGAAACATTTAGCTGTTTATGTAAGAACTCAACACAAGCGGATTTTATGTAGTCTAACTGTATGAGATCTGAAGCTGCTAACATATCCTTGAAAAATAAACAATAACAAATTTAAATCATTCTAGAATAAGTCTTATAAATATATAATACCTGTACATTCTCTTCGTTTACAATTATTTCACCAGTGTAAATATAATTTATCAAGAGTTGCAAAATGGTTGAGTTTATTCCTTTAAAACTATATGATCTTTATTCCTTTCTTCAAAGCTAGTGAACATGGCCTTGAAATATGGACTGGCTGATGCTAAGATAGCTTTCTGTCCAAGAACTACTGTACCATCGTCTGTTCCCAACTTAATATTCGCAAAACTCTTCATCTCTAAATACAAACATTTGTTAATTTTCTAGCTACTAATTTAAGTCACTACATACATTCTTAATGATTGCAAGACCCCAAGTACTTCTGCAGCGTGAGAGTTATTTTTAAATTTTTTTGGTTCACATTTTTCAAATTTCAGAACGCTTGTTTGATCACCCTCACATGGCAAATGTTGTAAATCATTTTCATCCATTTCTGTATAAAAATAAAACCTTTTTAAAATGTCAAAATAATACTTAAATGTACCAAATATTTAATATATTAAACATATTATAAATTAAATTGATAGCAACTTAAAAATATAAACATTTTTTGTGTTCAGTTCCAGCAGTTATTTACAAAAATTATTTTCATCAAATTTAAAGTTAACAGTTGATTCAGCACAAAATCGTTTTTGATAAAGAAAATCATTATTGGGTTCTCATGAATTATATTTCAAATGTTTATTAAAATGGTTCTTATTGATTTTATATTAGTACTAACTGAACCCGCGCATTTCACTGTCCGTAAAAAACTACAACTTTAAAAAAAATGTTGATTGTTCAATTTATTTTTTAACGCAACTAAGGCTCCCTGCTAGGCAACCCGACTATGTCTGATCATGGACAAAGTGTGACAGCATATCAAGTAGGAAATGTGTGAACATTTGATTTGATGAATGTTTTCACCTCATCTGCACGATTAACTAATGGCAACCAATACCCATTTGGGCACCTAATCTGGTTGGACCTAGGAGAGTGAAAAATACATTCTCATACCTACCAAATATACAAAAAAAACGTCATTTACATCGGTCAAGATGTTTCAGAGAAGTGCAACCACAAACACTGGGACACTAGCATTTTATATTGGATTATAATAGTATGTATATTTATTTAAATTTTGCTATTCATATACTCAAATGTATGCGCCAAAAAGTGGTTAGCCATGCTTCGGCACCTTAAAGCAATAATGACATTGAATTTTTTTTTGCTTTGGTTATGAACTATGATACCTAGGTCCTATTTGCAGATGGTGTGGTACCAATATTATTTCTTCGATATAATAAAACGTTAAGTACCTAGTTGCTTTGATAAAATATTATTGAATTCGCTATAGAATATTTTGTTCTGTCTTACCTATTATTTGCTGTTGGTGGCTTTCTTCAACCGAAATCGTTGACACAAATTTCAAATGGTATTTACTGTTTATCTTATCAAAAACGTATCCGGCTAAAGATTATTCTGAACCAAAATAATAATATCATGTACAACAGTCAGTATTGATCGATGTAGTTACCTACGACCTATGACTTTAAGAATTGAAAACTATTAATTATTCAATACGATTTATTTCACAATTAAAATTATAAAAGGCCCTCGTGAACAAAAATGCGGTCCGTCATCTGCGGAATATTCTACTCGACATATTATTGTCTCATAACAAATAACAATAACACGAGATCACAGATATGTATAATTATCTATATCTGTGCACGAGATAGGCTCACTCATAATGTTATCAATAATAAGCGGCCGTTTTTTTTGGAGAAAGCTAATATCAATATTATTTTGTGATAATATTGTTTTGATATTTATTAGTTGTTTATTTTGTATTATAACGGTCGACTTTTTGAGTTTGTAGTGTTTGGACTCGACATTTAAGTTTAAAACCAATTAATTTATCCATTGTCACTGAATAAATTGTATTGGCTATCATGGTGCTCGTATGTGTTGTTAAAAATTGCAGAAATGCCAAAAGTACAACAAAGGAAAAAAATTGCAAACTTTTTAGAATACCCAAAGATTTGGATCGGTAAGTAATTTATTAAAACAATACAATAATTATATTAGTTCATTTTTAGGAATTGCTTTTACCTAATAACATAAATTAATTTATAGGTCTAAAAAATGGTTAATTAATTGTGGAAGGGAAGAACTTTGTTCAAAGTCTGTTGAAAGCCTTTATAACAATTATAGAGTGTGTATGAACCATTTTAAAGAAAATATGTTTTCAAACCCAGAGAAAACTCGATTGTTGATTAGTGCTGTGCCTACTGAGTTTGGTAATTATGTGTTTAAAATGTTGTTTTATAAAAAAACTCATTTTAATCTAGAATCTAGATATAAGGTTAGGTTAATTAAATTGTTGTAATATTTGCTCATATTTTATTTCTTAATTTCAGTAATGCATACAACCATTACAACAACATCTATATCTGTTCATGTTTCTACAATGGTTGACAAACAAATAAATTTGAGTTCACCATCTACCTGTAAGTTCATATTTGTATTTTATTTTATTTACTAAATTTTTAAGTGCTTATTCAATATTTGAAAATTTGTTTACCAGCAATGTCTCCATCTACTACAACTTTGGATGAACTTAGTAAACCAGGTTCACCTTCAGCATCAACACAAACAATAAATAGCTTACTTTAAACACACCTAGAAAATTAAAACTAAAAGGCAAAGTAATTGAACTCAGTTATAGATGTGCTAATTTGGAAAAACAGGTTGTAACGTTATCAAAGCAAATGAATGACACTTTATCATCAATAAATCGTTTTTATGACTTTGTGATGTACATTTACCACATAATTTGTCTTTAGTTGTAAAAAGTTTTGTTAAAATGGCCACTAGAAACCCCCAAGGTTTCCGCTACTCAAAGGAACTTAAACAATTAGCTCTCACAATTTATTTTTTCGGACCTCGTGCTTATCAGTTTTGAAAAGTATTTTGCAATTGCCGAGCACAAGAACATTGAGTAGGGTTACTGAAAAAATTTATATAGTACCTGGGTTAAATAATGTTATCTTTGAATCATTAAATTTTAAATTAAATAATTTTAAAGATGATGCAAAAGATTGTGTTCTGATCATCGATGAAATTTCGATTAAAACTTATCTTTTTTATAATTTGTCAAAATATTATATTGTAGGGTTTAATAATTCTTTTGACCAAAAGACATATGAACCTGCAAACTATGTCTTAGGTTTTATGTTAAGGGGCCTAAACTATAATTGGAAACAACCAATTGCTTATTATTTTATCAAAAATAGTTGCACTGATCTTCAATTGCAAAATACAATATTTGCTGTAATTTCTAAAATACAAAGTATTTCATTAAATATAAGGGTTTTAACAACTGATCAATTATCAAATTTTATTGGATTTGCAAAAAAAATTAATGTTTCACCACAACGTCCCTATTTTTTTGTCAATCAAAAAAAAATATTTTATGTTTTTGATGTTCCTCACTTGTTAAAATCAACTAGGAATAACTTTATTAAATATCATTTAACATTTGCTAATGAAATCACAGAAAAAAAAACATTTAGTTAATTTTTATAAATCTGATCAAGGCCTTAATCGCCTTGCTCCCAAATTAACAGATGCACATATAAATCCTGGTCCTTTTCAAAAAATGAAAGTGCGGTACGCTAGTCAAATTTTTAGTGCAACCGTAGCAGCAGGTATGGGCACTTGTATTGAAGGCGGTATATTGTCACCTACTGCTGAAACTACTGTTATGTTTATAGATTATATGGACAAATTATTTGACATTTTAAATTCAAAGCCTAAAACAGGAAGTAAGAACTTCAATCGACCTTTTAAAAACACTACCTCCCAAAGACAACACTTAATATACATGTTAGAAGTTTTTAAATGGATGTGTGTCTTGGAATCCAGTATTGTAAATGGTGAACAGTGAGTAATGGTGTTACACATCAAATTAAATTTTTAAATGGTTGGCAAATTACTATAAATGCTTTGTTAAATTATGGGATGGCATTGATAAATCCCCTGAATATTCACTTAGTACATATAGAGTAAATTCGGATACCATAGAAAATCTGTTTGGTAATTTTCGCAACCAAAATGGTAACAATGTGAATCCTATCCCTATTCAATTTTTATGGACATTTAAAAAAAATTTTTCATTAAACTTTTTCCAGCATTCTGATGGGGCTAATTGCTTGGATGTTTTAGATCAAATTTTGACGAATGTTAGTGAATTTGCTCCTGCATTGGGTTCTGTTAAATTATTATTTTCAAATAAAAATCCTTTTAGTGATAATGTTTTGAAAATTGGTACTGTTGATTACCGCAATTTGTGTTTACCGGCTAGAAATGCACTTACATAGGTTTCTGGCTATTTAATAAGAAAATGTCTTGAAAAACAACCATGTCATGTCTGTTTAAATTATGCCAGAGATCAAAATGAGTTAGATCAATCACTCTTGTTAACCTATTTTAAAGCATATCAAAATTAAGAAAATTCTAATTATGGAAATTTAACAGTACCACCAGATCAATTTGTTAATTGATATATTAATATATATTTGTTATATTAATGAACTAGATAATATTTTTATTAGTGAATTCCCTATAATTTCAGTAAAGAATAATGTTGGTAAAGAATTGAGAAATGTGGTAGATAATGTTCCTTTTGACCACCCATGCCCTGGTTTTGATATTGGTTTTCTGAAAAAACTGTATATTAGACTGAGAATATTTCATTCCTTAAAAACATTAAATAAAAATGTTCTTTCTGCTCCAAGAAAAATCTGTAAGCTAGATATCCTTATACATTTGTAAATTGTGATTTAAACATTTTAGAAAAATCATATAATTTGTAAAATTAAAATATTGAATTATTTTTCATGTGACTGGATACTTGAAAAGTTGCTAGTGTTGTGAAAATAAAGAAAAGAAACAATTTCGAAATTTATATAAATGTAAGTTAATCAGTGTATAATATATAATACTCTAACACGACTAAGAATTGTAATAATTTAATATTAAGAACATAAATAATTGTTAACTAGATAATATGATTATTTGAATATATTAGAACAATTATTGATGAAGTTAAATTAAAATATTTATTTTGTATTATTTTTAAAGTGAATACTTCATCTGTAACTAATGTGGAAGAAACCAAGATTTATTAAATAAATAATTTCAAAATTAATATTATATAATTTAATTTATTTTACCTTTTTATTTTATTATAACTACACAAAAATATATATAATCACAGAAAATCATTTTTTAGAAATTATTCTATCCTGAGATCCTTATTAGTACCACAGAATAAATAAATATAATATATTATTAAGGCAAAGATCAGAATAGATAAATAAGTGAATTATAATGGATAATATACTCATTCACCCAAACATTTTTTTTTCTGGATATGGTCATACTGATTTTCCTCCAAAAAAATGGCGAATTCATTTATCAGATTTACCTATGCTTCTTGTATAATTCCTTATCAGTGTCCATTCTAATTTCTCTATTCTGTGACAGAACTTTTATTTTACATAACCTCAAATCTGTGATTATATTGTGATGAGCACGATTATAATGAGTTATCACCACAATATTCCCTCTGGTACGATTGGCCACACCAACCCGCGTGCGGCACTCCGGCATGTTATGGCGACTTATTGAAAAACGGACGTCTCGGCGTGCCAGTCGCCGTTCCCGACCCTCTCCCAGTCTTAATAATATATAAAGATACAATGCGGGTCAAAACTCAAAGTAGTGACACTATTCGTAAGCAGCGCAGCCTGTGGCCGTTCAATCGTGCGACTCATTTCGGGGCGTTTTTTATGCGTACGAGTTTCAACGGTCTCCCCATTCAAGTATTCCGGTATAATCTAACGTAAAATCTAACGTGGTCGTGGTATATACAACAACAAATAACCTAAAAAAAAGGGCTCGATCCTTTGTCCGAAGTCACCGGCACATCACACACTCACACGTCATTCATTTCGCCTTCGCGGTTCTCTCCGCCTAGACGCCTAGTGCCCGTCTCCTGCCATTCACTGTTTTAGATTTTAATTCTGCCATTGTGATCCGACCGGGGTAGTCGTTTTACAACCGATTGTTGTATCACGACTTCCTTGGTCGGGGTGGTTTCCGGGGATGCCAGGATCAGAGGTCAAAAGTCAAAACCAAGTAAGTCTGTCTTTTATATTGGCATGAATTTCCGTGTCGCCGTCGACAATACGTTGTTTTTCTTTATTATCTTACCGTCGTCTCAATAATGTAATGATATATTGTGTTCTCGCACTTAAGGGACGTCAGCAAACTGTTTGTGTTTTCTCTGCGCAACGCAGATTAGATCTCTAATGAGGAAAATCACCCATTACAAAAGTTATGGAGAAAAATATTTTTGATGGTATGACGTTGTATCGATTTCGTGTCGAATATAAAGTCAAATAATATTAAAATATAAAATCGATACGTGTAAAACCTAGAAACGTCAAAAACCGCATGAAAAACGATTTTCGGCTTAAGCGTTTTATCTCGTGAGGTCTGACGGAGAACAAAATAATAATGCGCTGACATCCTAGTGATGGAATTTCCTATCAATATAATAATATTATAGTTTAAAGTATTGTATCCATTTCAACGTATTAATTGTTCATTTGTTTGCAGTGTTCACGTGACGTGTATCGATCGATCGACGTGGGCCGAATAGAATATATAAGAAGGCCCTCAAACCGCGGGCCGCCGCAACGCACTCGCTCTGGAAATCCTTAGTACAATCTACTCCGACGGACCTCTGAATAAACTTCTGCTGCAGTAATTCAATATTATGTACATTTGATTGTTGTCTATGAACTATTGAGGTAGACTGCTATGTTAACGGTAATTTAATTCTGCACACACCCGTTTTCATGAGCGTACTGCAGAAAATTTAATTCTTCTGCTCCTGTAACAAAAAATATTCTACACCGAGGGCAACCGTTTTTATGGGTGTACTTTAAACACTCTAAGTGTCAATTTGCCACAGCGTTGGCACGTTTGTTTTCATCCGATGGTCAAATTGTGGCTATGGGATAAAAGTTGGCGTGCCAACGCTGCGGCACTTAGAATGTTTGATGTGCACACGTAAAAACGTCTGCTCTCGTCATAAAACTAACATCTTAGATGTTATTCTCATTCAGAAAAATTAGATAATATGCAGTGTGCACTCGAAAACAGATGTACGTACCGAGATACAATTATCGTCCTACTATTGTAATACAAAAACCTATATGAATAACAATATTATATTGTTTGCTGTACCGATTAACTATTCTACTACTGTAATTCTATATTATGTATTTTTAATTGTTGTCTATAAACTATTGAGCTAGACGGATATATGTTAACGGTAATTTAATGCGCCACACACCCGTTTTCATAAGTGTACTGCAGAAAATTCAATTTTTCTGGTCCTGTAGCAAAAAAAAATTATACACCGTGGGCAACCGTTTTTATGAGCGTACACCAGACACTCTAAGTGTCAAT